CACGTGATAATAGGTCAATTTATCAGAATAAACACAAATACTTCAGGTATATACTTAATGTTTTGAATTTTTCTAATGTTTGTGATGTTAAAACGGTAAATATATAAAAATTATTGAAGTTTTTAAACATATACGGATTAAGAATTAACTGAACATGTGAACTTATATTTACTTTGCATGGAAAACCTGTTAGTGAATTTAATCTTTTTATGGTAAGATTCGAGGTATCAGTTGAATTTATAGTTAATTGAGTTTGCAAGCAAGTACGGTACGAAATAACTTTACATTTCAAAGCAAATTAAAGTTTTATTTCAAAAAAACTCTTAAAGATTAGTTAAATAGTTCATAGTCATGTACAGAGTAATGTATTATCTAAAATGTTTATTTACATAATTGCAGTTTCTTTCCTATTTTTTTAACATTGGACCTCCTCTTTTAAACTCACTTTTGCTCAGCAAGAAGTAACTACATAGTAAACATATAACAAATTAAATAAAAAATCTTTAAACTAAGACACCATAAAAAATAATTAATCTTAAAACCACAAAAAGTCACTGATAAGCATTAGTAGTAGTAGTTAAACATGCTATTAATAGTAGTGAGAACATTAAACACTGAAAACAAGAAGAATTGGATAACAGATTGACTAAGAATTGGATAACATTATAATATTATATAGTGAAAGAAATAAAAAATTCTACATTATATATTTATATAGGGGCATGTAAAATTTAAAGAAGTCTATCAAACTTCTGCAAGCTTTCACTCAATTAAACAATGTTGTGAAATGAAATAGAGATCCTCATCACTCATTTATTATCAAGAAGATGCCATACTGATAATAAAACAAATACTTCCCCCGTCCCTTGAAATTTTGCCAAGTTTGATTGACAAAAGAATAAATAAAGTAAAAACTGTGTAGTTGAGGTTTGTGTAGAAGAAAGAGAATTAATTGAAACCACAAATTCTTTACTTAAAAGAGAAAGTGACAAAGATAGTGGGACAACCAAAAAAGAAAAGTTGTCAAAATTTTAAGGGACGGAGGAAGTATATCATAGCTATCAAAGTTGAGCTAATTAGATTAATACAGAGCAAGCTATACTCTTATCACCTTAAGTGTCTAATGTCCTTCCATTTGTGTTCACTTGTTTTATTTATGTTAGATATGATGTAGCTATAAGAAAGTTCCATATTGATTTTGTTGCATGGAAAATCTAGATGCTTTCAAGTACGTACATGAGGTGAAATTTAATGTGAGCTGGAAAATTTGCTTTGAAAATTTGAATGGAATTTCAGATAATTGTTTCAAAACAACATTAATACATTGATTATAAAGGTTAATACTAAAAGAAGAAACACAAGAGTAACCACTCTAATAAAGAAAATATAGTAGCTATTGGTATAGTGCAAAAAATATTATTTGAACATTTAAAATGAAAACAATGTAATAATATATTTAAACAATTATAATTCGAATGCATTAATAAGTATAATGTAGTCAAAGTAGAGTATCTGAATATTGTAACTTAAACATCATCAACATTATCCTAATGCCGCAAAGACTCCTCACCTACAGTGGAGTAAGGTAGTTATATGCACGCAACCTTACCCATGTAATAAAGCAAAGAGAGTTTGTTTTTGTATGACCCATGATGGAAACCATGTTGAAAATTGCATGAATTGACTGTTGCTTCATAATAAAGAACTGCAGACAATTTAATATGACATTTTGCTTTATTCCATCATATTTCCAATAAAAAAATAGTGTAAATCCAACATGTTCCAATTATTCAAAAATAGACATAATACGAATAATTTTTCAATGTCATTCTTTGTGTAAGTAGCGATCGTCTCCCTAATGATTAGGGTTTGAGTTACGCAGTCCGGCGATCCATCTCCTTCGGCAAAGTGGAGCACGAGACTGCTCGCGCTGCTGGTCTCTTCTTTTGTAGGTTACCGCTTCTCTTCGACCACGAGGGTGTTGTTTGGGACGTTACAAAGCAGCAATGCAGGGCAGCAAGGTAGGGGTCTATTTTGGTCCAGGGGTGCAGATCATTCACGGCAGAATCTGGGTTATAGGGATTCTAGTCACAGTTGGGTCGTTGCTCTGCTTGTTGGAATGTTGAAAGTAGGAAAGATGAATGGCATCACGGGGCTTGACAGCGAAGAAGATAACCGCTAGCGGCGGTTTTGCTATGATTGCGGGATGAGGAGAGTTGGACGTGTTTTGAATAGGCCATCTTTCAATCGACAATGGAGGATCAATTAGAGTTGTACCGATGGTGCGGCCTCCTCCCGAACCACCGTCATGTATTAAACGAGGTGCTAGGGTCCGTGAAAGTTATCCTATTAGTTATTATTATTATTTTGTCATTTGGATTCTTGTTAACATCTATGTTGTTAGGTTTGTTAGTTTGTTTGAAAATTTAGCCTAATTTTATGTCATTGAGAGTATATGGATCTATGGGACCAAGGATAGTTGTGTCAAGCACGCTTCGTGGTTAGCATTTCGTGTTGCTCTCTCAGGGGTGACAGTCTCTAAGTTTAATCATAAGGTTTACAGTCATAGTTTTTGGAGGTTAGTTGATGTCAGATATGATTTCTTTTGATTGATGTAACGATCCTGAAACTAATGATATGAATAGATCAGAGGCGAGTTTCCATTCCAAAAAATGTCATTCTTTGTGTATTTTAAATTGTATTTGTAGTCTTTACATTTGAATCATTCTTTTCATTTTAATAAGAATACTATTATGTATGGCACAATGCACCAACAATAATTGATTAAATAAGAAATAAAATATTGATCCCAACTTAGATAATTTCACATGTATGGTGTTTTTACATTCAAGAGTAAATTGTTTAAATTTGATTTTTTTCAATGGTAGAAGAATTTGTCGATACGTTTTTGTAGAATTTGTGCATGTATTTCGCTTTTAATGAATAAATTTTATTCTCATATTTATAGAATCAAATTTATATGAATAAAGACATATATTTGTCCCGTGCATCGCATGGGTACAATGCTATTATATATTATATGATGATAAATAATTTTATATATATTTATTTAACATATACAAATTTATAATTGGTTGTGGTTAGACCAAGTCATAGTAAAAATGTATTATATTTAATTTTGGATCTTATGAATAATTCACAATATCTATTACTCCGTAGTATTTTTCATTTTAATACATATCATATTGACGCGCTACCGGGACATTGCCCCACATTTTACACTAATTAATTAATAAAATTGAATATATGTAATTAATATTGAATCTATTGAATTGATAAAATATTTTTGGCTGAATTTGACTTTGCACCTCACTTTTTGTATGATATTGGACTTTGCACCCCATTTTAAAAAACTTTGATTTTGCACCCTATTTCACTTCAAAATCCTTTGACTTTGCACCCAATTTAGAAATTTTTCTTCACAAATGTTATATGATAGGGTGCAGAGTCAAAGGTTTTCTAAAATGGAGTGCAAAATCCAATATCATTCAAATAAGGGTGCAAAGTCAAATTCTTCCAATAATTTTAGATTTAGATTTAAAGACACTTGCGAGTTGGGAACACTTGAACAGCCTAAATGAGTGTTTGCCGGAGCTTTTAAAAAGTGTTTTTTTAGCTTTTAGCTTAAAAAAGGCTGAAAAGATTGTTTTCAAATGACAGATTCTGCTTAACTTATTCACTTGAAAGCTAAAAGCTGGAAGCAGTTGGAAGGGTGCTTTAAACTGCTTTTCACGTTTTCTATTATACAAAAACCACTTATCTTACCAAACACTACTAACTTTTACTTTTTCATAATCATTTTTTTTTAGAAAAGGTGCAAATAAGGCCACGTACTAACCAAAAAAGGTCAAATAAGGCCTTATTTAAGAGGTTATGTCCGGTCGTCGCCATTTGGGGTAGTTCCCGGTGGAATTTTTTGATGAAATTTTTTTAGCATCTTATTCAGTAAGTCTAGTTTACTCATACCAAATTTCAGCTAAAACTTCAATCGGGAAGACATTCAAATGAATTCTTGAAGATAACTGAGCTTTTAAGTGCGCAGTTATCTTCAAGAATTCATTTGAATGTCTTCCCGATTGAAGTTTTAGCTGAAATTTGGTATGAGTAAACTAGACTTACTGAATAAGATGCTAAAAAAAATTCATCAAAAAATTCCACCGGGAACCACCCCAAATGGCGAAGACCGTACAAAACCTCCTAAATAAGGCCTTATTTGACCTTTTTTGGTTAGTACATGGCCTTATTTGCCCCTTTTCCTTTTTTTTTTCAAACACCGCCAACTTTTACTTTTAAATATTTTCTCCCAAATCAGTTTAGAAAATCCTTTTTAAAGTAGAAGCAATCTCAACCTCAACATTCAAGGAGCAATCACTTAAGAAAATCACTTAGGGGGTGTTTGGATCTGATTCTCAAAACTGATTCTGCTCCTTCAGGAAGCAGAGGCAGAAACTGGAGTGTTTGGTGAAATTCCAGAAGCACTTCTGGTGCTCTAATTTATTCTCGGAATCAATTTTTTTTGGGAAAACTGTCAAATAGGTCCTCGAACTTTCATAAAAAAGTCAATTAAGTCCTTCTATAGGAGACTCTGTCCGGTCGTCGCGATTTGGGGCGGTTCCCGGTGGAATTTTTTGATGAAATTTTTTGAGTATCTGATTCATCAAGTCTAGTTTACTCATACCAAATTTCAGCTAAAAATTTAATCGGGAGCGCATTCAAATTAATCCGAGAATGCAAAACTGCGCAGTTATCTTCAAGAATAAATTTGAATGTGTTCCCGATTGAATTTTTAGCTGAAATTTGGTATGAGTAAACTAGACTTGGTGAATAAGATGCTCAAAACATTTCATTAAAAAATTCCATCGGGAACTGCCCCAAATCGCGACGGCCGGACAGAACCTCCTATAGAAGGACTTAATTGACCTTTTTATGAAAGTTCGAGGACCTATTTGACAGTTTTCCCATTTTTTTTAGAAGCCTGTAAAACTCATTACAAAGGAGCATCCGAACTGGCCGAGCACAGTTCCAAACAGCCCCTTACAAAGGTGCATCCGACTGGCCGAGCAGAGAGGATCAACATCAACTCGCCCTCATCGACGAAAGCCAAGTCGCCAACGAGCGACGTTTGGCCGCCCTGCCCCTTCTCAGTGTTCAACGCTTCAATCTTCGGGTGCGTTGCACGGCCTGCACTTCTGTCAATTCTGTGGACCCGCGGTTCTGCCCCTTCCTCCCCTCTCGCCTTCTGGTATGCCTCTATAACTCTTTTATTGATTAGTTCAGAGTTGTTGATAAATGATTAATTGATTTATTGATTAGTTCATTCACAGTTGATGATTGTTCAATGTTGATTTCATGATTTGCTCTGCCACTCCTGATTGTGGAGTAGTGTTTTGTGTTGTTGTTGCGGTTCTACCCTTGTTTATTAAGTCATTAGTTCATAGTTATTGACTTTTAAGTGATTATTTTATTTTTCTGTTATGTGATTTAGTTGTGATTTTGTGTTAGCGTTAGAAGTTTGTTCAGTACAAATTTGAATATTATTAAATTTATAAATTTAATTAATTTTAAGTTGTCATAAAAATGGTTGAATCTGGGCGGGAGAAAGAGTTTATCAAAGTTGAATCTCAAGAATTACCTACGATCAATAATCTCAAGAAACACATGATGGATTAGCAAAACTAAGCATTGAGCTAAACGTGTTAGAAAAGCTTGATTATGATGCTATAAATTACTATTTCCTTTAATTTTATATTTTTTAACCGTGATTATACTTTTTTAATTTAATGAATTATGAAAGTCATTTCTTTATTATAAAGGTGTTGAAATATTACTATTGCACATGTTAGTTCAGATAGAAAAGGTTTTTACATTTTTAAGATTAAACCCGTTATAAATTACCCGCCCTAGGCTTTGAAATAGACAGGACCGGCCCTTGTACATTTTCCATTTTTTGCTAATATAATTTCTCTCACTTTAGTCACTTGCACTGAGAATAATTTATCACATGTTACTTTATCTATCTTTAACTTACCTTTGCTTATACTTCTAAACAACCCCCCTCACTCTTGGATTACAGTCACCAGCTCTTTGCATGGTCACTGTCTTGCACTAAACCCTCTGAGCTCTAAGAGCATCTCCAATGGGAGGGTGTGGTCTCTTACAAACCCTTACACATGAGTCCCATTTTTAATCTTACAATTTTTTATGTGTAGGACCAAGTGACCAACACATCTCCTAATTGATTTTCATTTTCAATTTTTATGTCACTTTTAACCCACTTTTCCTCTACTTTTCTTCCTTAAATCCCGTGTAAGGTTCATTTGTGGACATTGACAGAGACCTAGGTCTACAATTTATCTCTATCTCTCCCCTTTTTCATTTTTCCCTACACATAATTTTTTCTATACTAAATTGAAATAATCATCCTATCTCTATCTCTCTCCTATGCCACATAAGATGGACCTTACTGCCTCCCATCTCCCAAATCTCTCACTCTCTACCCTAAGTTTCCCAATTCTCCGCGATGATCCAACGACGCAGAGACTCCAGCACTGTAGTAGCCAGTAGGTGCAATATCTTAATTTGAGCTTTTGACCAATTTATTGAAAACAATCTAAGACCAAAAGGTAAATCAGATTATAAAAAAGTTAACATATACTTTAGTAAAAAACTTTGGCACCCCTATGGCCCTATGGCAAGGCTCACGACCGGCCTGCCCTTCCCCTAGAGAGTATTTTAATCTTAGTTGGAATCTTGGTTGGTTTTTGTTCTTGATTTTGGTGGGAATCTTTGAAAACAAAAATACATTATTGGATGGAGTAAGGAATATATAGATAGTTCTATATTATTGTAAATTTTGTTGTGGGTAGAAGTTTTTGAAGCGCTGCATATCCAGAACAATTTCAAAACAGATGGGAATTCTATATCCATAAAAGCTTCAGAAAAATTGGATCTTTGGGGTTGAAGCAATATCATTTTAATATTATTAAAATTATACTGATAATATCAGGAGTGAAACATTGTTATTGGAGATTTGAAATATATAATCAATAATCATTAAGTAGTGTATATCGAATGTAGTGAATGTTGAAAATGCAAGAAACAAGATGGTACTTTGTTAAATCAGTGAAGTTGTTGGAAGCAAATTATTAAATCCAGCAAGCTGGTTGAAACCAGGAATAATGTATTAGTAAATGCAATAAACAAGATTATGGTGTACAAAATGTGAAAAACCCAAGTTGTTGATACATCAAACTTGTTGGTAACTAAAATTCAAAAATAGCAGTGTTTGAACAGTCGACCATTTTGTTATCCTTATATAATAAAAGAAAGTGTAAAGTGATTAAACTCTTAATCTTTAATTCATTCAACAAAGCCTAATTCTGTATTTTTAATTCATTAAATAAAGCCTAATTCTTCATTTGTTGTTCTACATTTCTTCCGTGTTTATTCATTCACAAGTTATTTTTTAAAATCTGATAAGTTGTTCTGCTGTATTTTTCATGGGAGGATCATGAAAACGTAGAGTAAGATTCTTTGAGTTTATGTCTATTATGGACAGTGTTTTATGTAAATATGGATATGTATATCCAAATTTTTTAAAGGAAAAAGTATTTTTCTTTTACACACACACACAAAAGAACACATTTCTCCCAAGTCTTTTTGTCCTACATTTTTTAGGAAATGCTATTTTCTCATTGTCACTGGCCCCTTTTTATGCTATTTTCTGCATAGTTGTCTACGACATAATGATGGGTCTTCTTATGCTTCACTTGAGACCAGGGGGTTTTGAACACAAAGAATTTAGCTTCTAGCTTGTGTTGAATGAGTATATAAAGCTACATAAAGTTTCTTTCCATGGCGTGGAGGGGATTGCTTTCTCTCAACACAAAAAGATTTGCGATATCTTCAAATGCTGCAGTATCATCCTGCGGAAGTTCTGTTAATTTCTCTTCCAAATCCCATCAGTATTTGGGTATGATTCATTATAAACCAATACATAGATATTTATAGTAAAAAAAATCTTTTTCTGTTTTGACATTGATTTATACTTTGGGTAATTTGAATTTAATTGGAGATCGAAATGTTGCAGTAAAGGTGGGGATTCCAGAGTTCTTGAACGGAGTGGGGAAAGGAGTGGAGGCCCATGTGGATAAGCTTGAATCTGAGATTGGAGATTTCCAGAAGCTTCTAGTTACTCGAACCTTAAGACTCAAGCGTCTTGGCGTTCCAGTAAAGCATGTGAGTCCCCATAATGCTTCTCCATTTTGAATATGTTGCGCTTTTTTCTTTGATGTTTTAGGTTAATGGAATTCATTTCGGTGATTTGTTTGTTGTGAAATAATAAAATTTCACATTTATTTTTTGTGTATTTATTGATTGTAAGCTGACTAAAGGTGCATACGTTAAGGTTTTCTTATTTAGCAGGACTAGTAGTTCAAAGTAGAGTAGATTTGCTACAAGTCTGATATGAAGCAGAAAAATAAAATCAACGGGGTGAACCGTTGCCCAGATAATAAACGATAAATAAATACCGTTGCCCAGAGCCAAAAGGCTAAACCAACTTTTATTCCAAGATTAGCAAGAATGAATCCTAACAAGGGGTTTAAATACCCATCTACTAATTCTTAAACTAGGAAACAAAATCCTAGAAATCCTAATCAACTCCAACTAGGAAACAAAATAATAAAGATCCTAATCAACTCCAACTAGGAAACAGAATAATAGAGATCCTAATCAACTTTAAATAGGAAACAAATAATAGAGATCCTAATTAACTCCTAATAGGAAACAAATCAGGATAATTAAAAAGAATAAATATTAATTAAGCATCCCGCAACCAGCCCACGAAGGTGGGCTCAAGCCCGTCCCCGCCTTCAGTAAACCCACGGAGGCTTCTGCCCCTGTTCTTCCAAGCCCAGATTCTGTTTCATATCAAAGTCATAATATTTTCTTGCTACAATGATTTGGTAATTGGGGTTTCTATGTGGTACAAGTGCAAAGAGTTTTTCCTGTGTTATCTAAAAAGAGTTAAAGACCATTAGAGTAACAGCAATTCTATTTCCACACAGGTGCAAAAATGTAGATATCCAGGTGTACTTGTAACAATGAATAATACAGAAGCATCTTTCTTCAACAACATTAGTTGTAATTTTTTTGCTCTCTTTGTGTTGTCATGTCCTACTTTAACCATTTTCCTGGCCCTTTGAAATATGTCAACCACTTTTGAGAATAAAATCATGTTTGGTCAAGCTACAATTATTTAATATTCGCAAGGTAAACAATTTAAAAGTCATGGAATCCTACTATTGGCATTATTTGGCGTTTAAATAAATTTTTCATTTTAAAATTGTTTTCGCAAATTAAATGAATTTAATTTAGATTTTTGAAATGTATGACCTTTTTTCTGGAATAGTTGTCGAAGTCCGATTACTCATGGACTTAGGGTTTGGATCTGATTCTTAAAGTTGCCTTTGCTCCTTTAGAGAGCAGAAGCAGAAGTTGGAGTGTTTGGGTAAAAGTGCATAAGTGATTCTGGTGTTCTAATTTACTCCTAGAATCAATTTTCTTTTAGAAGTTGGGGGAGACCAGCTTCTGGGCAGAATCAGTTCTAAACACCCCCTTAAATATAGATTTCATAGGATCTTTAATCTAAAACCTAAGGACAAGTTGCAAGTCAGGGAACAAAATATGCAATATGTATTAGAGGCTTCTGAATAAAAACTAGTTTTAGTTTATTCTTACTCTATTTTTTATTTGCAAGTAGAGGTGTTTTATGCATTGGTTGGTACTAGAGTTAACTTCCTGGATTTGTATGAATAATGTGAATGTGGGTTCTGAGTTTAATAGAATGTATATTGTCCATCTTATGTAGAAACGCAGGAAGTTTTATGGTAGGGATGTAGTACAAATTTAGATTTTATGGAGTTATTTAATAAAAGCATCATTGTCCTAGTAAAAGCACAAAGGTGGTGCACTTGTTAGTTGTTATTAACCTGGGGGATTATCATTTGGTTCATTTAACCGACACAGTGATGGATGTTTTCATGCTTATTCTTCTCTCTAACAACTTATATTGACGCACTGCTTTTTGACGTTTTAGAGAAAGCTGATTCTGAAGTATGCTCACAAATACAGACTAGGACTTTGGAGGCCTGTAGCTGAGCCCGTGAAAACATAGTGGCACTAAGATATCACAATCTGTGCATTCAGTTTCATAACTTATGTGGTTCACTCCTGCATTTTCCTGATTTTCTTTGAAGTGTTTTTAGTAGTAAATTTGGATACTGACCGTCATTTTCTTCCCAATTATACGATGATGCAAAATGTGGTATTTCGACCCTTGATAAGGTTGTGGTTTTACTACTGTTGTTCTGGTTTCGGTTGACTGCAATTTGTTTTACCTAAACACCTATTACTGTCTTTATCCATTATTTTTACGCCATGCCTTGTTTTCATGATACTGAAGCTGATCACAAATCATTTAGGATTTGCGCTTGTGAAGTTATTTTCCTCGAATGAAAAAAATAGTTGAATTCACTGAAGTAACTACTTCTCTGCGGTCCTTATTTTGAATACAATTACATAGTAGATTTGTAATTCTGACGCATTTTTTATGGGTAGATAATCAGATAAGAGGTGATCGACTTTTGCAAAATGTGTTGGTAGACATTTGCAGTAGGGGTGGACTTGATTTTGGTTCTGGAATCGAACTGGATCTGGGCAGGTTAATAATTGAATTTGTGGATGTTTCTCAATGGGGTAATTCTAAATGCTGCCCATTTTTTTTTACCAAGTACAGCCTCATGTTAAAATTCGTTGTGCACAAACTGATCAAATTTACATCATGAGTCCTTTTCCTGTACGGCCAGGCCGGATAGGAGGCTCGTCCGGCCACCTCAATTTGAGGTGGTTCTCGGTGGTATTTTTTGTCCAAATTTTTTGTGTATGTTCCTCATCAAGTCTAGTTTATCCATACCAAATTTGAGCAAAAAATTCAATCGGGAAGGTCGTCAAATGATTTTTGAAAGTTAACTGGTCCGGAATATACATATAAAACGCAGTGAACTTGCAAAAATCATTTGACAATCTTCCCGATTGAATTTTTTGCTCAAATTTGGTATGGATGAACTAGATTTGATGAGGAACATACACAAAAAAATTGGGCAAAAAATACCACCGGGAACCACCTCAAATTGAGGTGGCCGGACGGGGGAGTTACAACTCAATTGGGTTGGTTTGCAACTCCTTTTAAAAAAGCACTTCTCAGCTTTTGGCTTTAAAAAAGCACTTATTTTCCCAAACACTACAATTTTTATTTTTCTCGGCTTCCGCGTCAAAAGTGCTTTTACTTTTTCTATTACATAAAAAGCACTTATTTTACCAAACACTACCCACTTTTACTTTTCAAAATCACTTTTTTCTCAAACACTATCAACTTTTATTTAATCACTTCTCCCCATTTCATTAAAAAAAGCACTTTTTTAAAAGTAGAAGCTGTTGCAAACAGACCCTAAGCAGCAGGAGGTTTAAAACCATCATCACCAGTTTCTTTTTATTTAATTATTATAATTATTTTCCATATTGTTGGAGTAATTAATGATAATTATTATTAATTATAATTAATTTTCCAAAATAAAGCCGTAACAAATCCTATAAGCAAAATATACATAAGCATCAATGCAACTCAACTTGATGGGGGAACATGCAATTCAACTTCATACATTGTGTATACATATCTTCGATTTGTTGCTGCATCCATTACATATGTATTATGTATATATCTTATTTTTGTAATCCATATTGTAATTGGCCCAGCTCAAATTGACATTACTTGATAAATAATCAAGTGAATGGAAAGGAATTAAGGAATCTCTACTCCTCAACAATCACATCCACTACTTTTCTCAACTATGTTATCATTACACCTTATAACCTTATAAAAAGGATCTCTACTCCTCAACCTTTTGTTATCATTACTCCTCACTAGCAAAATCTCCCCTAATTTTTCTAAGCTTGGATTTCCCCCTTGTTCAAAATTGTAACTATTTCATTCAAGTATTAATTTTTATGCACTTTTATTTTATGTAATTCTAATTATTATATCATTTATGTAAGCATAATATTACTTTCATTTATTGTTTCATTTTTCGTATCAAGCAACTGCAGCCTAGTATTTTTAGTAGATTTGCAGAGTCAAGTAAAATTCATAATAGTCTGTACATTTTTCTCAATAATCAAGCATAGTACTTATTTATACTAGAGATTTGATGATGAAGTTTGGGTTGAAAGGCGATTTTTAAATACTTTGTAGATTTTAAAGGTTAAAATAAGCTTAGGACCATAAGACATTTAATGAATCATATCATGATAAGTTGAAAACGTGAGAACTCTATTGCATGGTGGGGAAGGTACAATTTTAAGTAAGGTGGATATCCAAGCCAATTAGACGAGTATAAGACCAAAGATACGATGGATATTTTTATCTCGTATAATCCCATTATTTAATTTGTTTTTATTCATAAAATTTACTAGGACTACATTGTTAAAATTTGAGTTCATATTCATGTTTAACTCATCGTGCTATTTTAATGCTCCCTCCGTATTTTAAAGTTTCAGACACTTTTCTTTGGGATATATTTAAAAGTTTGTTACACTTTCGCATTTTGGTAAGTTTTTCCTTTAAAAGTACACAACTACCTTTACATTTTCTACTTTTTATCTTTTCTTTCATACTTTTACACACTCTCTCCTGCTTTTTCTACACTATTTATTACTCCTTTTATTTCATTGTTAAATATTGTGCCTCATGCTATTGTAGTGAACTTATAAGTACGAAGGAAGTGACAAACTTTTATTTTCTTTATATATGATACATTAAAAATCTTTATATATGATTGGAGCGCAATATAATATCTCAAATATGAGTTTCATTATTTTTTCAAAAATATACTTCATCCATTCATATTTGGAGAAGTTTATATTGTTAGGGCAGAATTATTAAAATACTTCAAACTTTGACGGGGTATGAGATTAATACCCCAAACATGAGTGTGTAATTTAAATATCTCAAACTTTATATAAAAAATTATTTTAGCACCATAGTCAACTATTATTTCTTTAAAAAATGTAAAAATTATGTTGTTAATTGCATAATTTAAAATATTTTGGAATTCATAAAGACACAATTAAGAAATGAATAATGTTACTCCCAATCTATATAATTGCAATACTTTTAATTTTCTATTTTAAATTATGTAATTAACCCCATAAATTTACATTTTTGAAAGAAATAATACATGACAATGGTGCAAAAATAACTTTTTATTTAAAGTTTAGGGTATTTAAATTACATATGCAAGTTTGGGGTGTTATCTCACACCCCTTCAAAATATGAGGTATGTTTATTATTTTTCCCTATATTGTTATTGCTTTAACAAGTTTAAATAAGTCTTGTCTTGGAGAGAAAACGTACTCATCAATTTCAATTTAGATTTGTTTTCATAATTTACTCATATTTTGAAAACTTTCTTAAGACAAACCAACATAATTGAGGCTATTAACACAATCAAACTCTCGTGTGATAATGAAATCGCCGGTGGTCTTTCGCAATATAAAATTTGCACGTACAATAAGGAAAATTTATCATCTTACTATGTAATATACTACTATCATATCGTAAAATATCAATATTAACAAAATAACAATAAGTCCTTATATAGGCAAGGGCGTATCTACTATGGGGCAGGGGGCAGCTGCCCCCACTAAACCCTCACCTAACCCCATTATATATATATATCAAATTTTATTTGTGTAATTTTTATATATTCTATTATATATGTATAATATAAATTTAGCATCCCTAATGACAAACCAAGTTCCGTAACCCGCTGGTATGAGTGATGGACACTATTGGTGTGTCCAAATTTGAATCTCTGTGACCACTCGAGAGTGAGCTATTTTTTTGCCCCAACTATTTAAAATTTGTCCAATATAACATTCAAATTAATTATTTTAAATGTAGCTAATAAATGATACCCCGCATGTAATTCCAACAAAAAAATTCAATAACATATTTTTACACTTAATATTAAAACTTGTTTGTTTATTTATAACTCAAATTATTTTTAATTACATATTTTATCCATTTCTTATATATTTTTGGTTTTGCATGTAGTAAACTATAGAATGTCCAACACTCTTAACCTAAGATCCAAATTAGTTAAAACTAATTTATTTTAATGCAACTATTAAATGATATGTAATTTCAATCACATCTTTTCACACCTAATATTAAAACACACTTGTTTATTTGTAACTTAAATTAGTTATAAATTTATAATTACATATTTCATATGTTTCTTATAAAAAAATTATTTTATTTTTAATAAATTGTTGACTTTTTTATTGATATTTATTTCCTAAAAATTGTGTGATAACGTAGGGTAAATTTGCCCCCACTGGCCGAATTTTCTGGATACGCCACTGTTAATATAGGAGGCTCTTCTGGTCGTCATCATTTGGAGCGGTTCCCGCTGGAATTTTTGGATGAAAATTTTTGAGCATCTTATTCATTAAGTCTAATTTACTCATACCAAATTTCAGCTAAAACTTCAATCGGGAAGACATTCAAATGAATTCTTGAAGATAACTACACTTCAATCGGTGGAATTCTTGAGGCATTCAAAAAAGTGGAGTTATCTTCAAGAATTCATTTGAATGCCTTCCCGATTGAAGTTTTAGCTGAAATTTGGTATGAGTAAATTAATGAATAAGATGTTCAAAAACTGTCATAAAAAAATTCCACCAGGAACCGCCCCAAATGGCGACGGTCGGACAGTAAAGTCTTATTTGACCCTTTTTATGCAATTTCGAGGACCAATCTAACCTTTTACTCATATTATAAATGGATAGTGGAGTTGAAAGCAATCAACATTCTTTATCTAATACTCTCTACGTATTTAAAAGTTCCCTACACTTTTCTTTTTGGGATATATTTAAAAGTTCCCTACATTTCCAATTTTGGTAAGTTTATCCTTTATAAAATACTCAATTACCCGTACTTTTTCTACTTTTTATCTTATCTTTCATACTTATACACTCTCTCTTCAACTTTATGTGCACTATTCACTACTCTTGCTATTATATCCTAAAATATTGTGTTAAAAGCAAATGTAGGGAACATATACGTACAGGAGTATTCAAGACTATTAAATACTCCCTCCGTCCCTTATAACTTTGCCAACTTTCCTTTTTTGGATGTCCCATTAACTTTGCCACTTTCTCATTTAAGTAAAGAATTTATGGTTCCTGTTAATTCTCTCTCCTCTGTACAAACCTCAACCACACAGTTTTTACTTTATTAATCTCCGTGCCGGTCAAACTTGGCAAAGTTATTAGGGACGTATTCGAAAGTGTTTCTTTATCTAATGCGCATAAACATTCAACATTCGTTGATATTCTATTTACGGAGTATATACTCCGTAGTTTAATTTCATGTTTATTTATTTATTTATTTATTTATTCAACATATTTATAAACTTTAGTAAAAACTA